AAGAAATTTTATTGGGTGTAATATATTTGGATAAATAAGAAAAAACAGTAGAAGAGACATCAGGAGTCCAATAGTAAAGACCGTTATTGACCCAACCCAAGCCCATCGGTTTCCCAATCAAAGAGTCGTGAAATTCACATTTTGAAGGTAGAACATGTAAACGACAATTATTATCCTGATAGAGTTTAGACACAAAAATGAGGTTGAAATGAAATGTCGGGACACATAGTACATTTTTAAGCATTAAATGATTGGTTAAATAAATAGTGCCTATGTGGGTGGCAGGGGCAATGTTGCCATTTGGCATACGGACAGAAGTGCTCGTGGTATTTATGGTATGTGTATGGAAAAATTATGGATTGCAAATTATGTGGTCGCTAGCTCCTGAATCAATTATTCAAGCATAATTTGTGATAAGATTAAGACAGTAAGTTGTACCTGCACAGGAGGATTTTGATGTCTGAAGGGTGTTCTTCAACATGTAACCCCCGTACTGCTTTGTTTTCATGTATGTTGTATATAGTTACGCATTGGTATGATTTTTGCATGTGTGCTCATATTTTTTTTATGTTGGACGAATGAAAAGATTTTGTTCGTTGGTTGTGAATTTCTAATTTGAGTTGAAAAAGAGAAATCCAATCAATTTGGTGGGACTGGTTTGACTAATTGATAAATGGAAGTGTTTTGGTTAACTTGAAGTGTGAAATGGATTGTGTAGAATGTTTACTCTTAACTTGTTTTGCAATTGTGAAGTGCAGAAAAATTCAATCACTTGAGTTATAAAATTAATGTTTGGTGTATCGTGTGATAATTGGTGGTTGGTTTGGAAAGGGATCACCTTTCTATGTTGGTAATTTGAGTTGTGTTGAAATGTTGCTGGGAATGGGTGAAAAAGGAGGGTGAATTGCAAGTTCTTAGAACTTTTTTGGGTCCAAGTGAAAATATTTAATACATTGGGACTATATGAAATTTTTTCAGATTTTGGTGCTGCATCAAAGAAATTTTTCGCCGGCCAATGTACATTTTGGAATTTGGACTGAATTGCGAGTTTTAAAAGTTTCTTTGTTATCTTGGGGGTGTAAGTGAAAATATTCAATCTTATATAGTGATAAATAGGGGTCCTTTTATAATAAAAATACAATTGTGTTAGGGGCTTTTTGGAAATAACGTAAAAATTCAGGAGGTAAATTGATATGTGCCACTCCACCGACTTATATTCCAGTTCAGTCGATTGGAAGGAGGAAGGAGAGAAGAAAAGGAGAAGAAAAGGAGAAGAAAAGGGGAATAAGGGTGGTTTTAACCCCATTTTCATTTCAGAATCGATTTTTGGGCTTGCTTGATCCATGGGTAAGCTTTTAATTGGGTAAAATTTTATCATTTATCCTTCATTTTCCCTAAATTTATAGTTTAAGCTAATTTCTTCAAAGAATTGGTTCAAATAGGAGGAGGAGAACCAAGTTCTTTGAGGGCTTTCGTTATTTGGGACAAGCTTCACGGGTGTGAGTGGAAAATCTAAAACCCTAACTTTTATTTTTAGCAAGATATTATATAAATGGTTTACTCTAGCATTAATGTTTTAATTGCTTAAATCCTTTGATTTTTGTTATGGAAATGTGTTTAATACAAGATTATCCTTTAGATTTGAGAATTGACATTAGAATGATTGAATTTTCGAAGTCTCTTGGGCAAGAATTGTTGACAATACAAAAATTGGCAAAAACTGTTATTAAGACTTGTATTTTTAGCCTCCTATTGTATCTTGTGAATTAATATTATGTTATATGTTTCTTTTTGAATGAAGGTATGAGATCTATGGAAAGATGTAAATTGAAAACATGTATATTGATAATAGTAGTTTCAAACCATCATTTATAGTACCCATCTCGCTCACAATATTGATTGGATCCTACGCATGCTCACGGTTGGTTATTTTGTCGACCCAAGTGGGTCGAAGGCCTGAGCAAGGCAGATATTGCTACATTGAATTTATTTTGCCGACCCAAATGGGTCGAAGGCCTGAGCTAGGTAGATATCGCTACATTGGATTGTTTTACCAGCCTAAGTGGGTCGAAGGCCCGAGCGAGGTAGATATCGCTACACAGGATATGATCGTGCCGGCCCGAATGATGCTTGGTCTCACTGGGTTGAAGGCTTGAGCGGTGACCGATTCCGCCTAGAAGGATGGATTTAGTGGTTCAACCCACGTGATGTTAGATCTTGCCGGGTTGGATGGATTTACCCCTGGGTACTAGTTGGGTGAGAGTTTTCACATGTGATTGAGAGATGGTTTGGATATGTATATATATGTATATCATTTATTTGAAAATGGGAACTTATAAATGTAAATGTTATCCGTATATGAATTGTTTCTTAGAAATGATATTTTTAGAGAAACATGAGTATTGATTCGTTTACCATAATAGTGTTCAGAAAGAAGTCTTGCCATGAGAGATTTCACCATGTGTTATGAAAGGTGGCTTATATTATAAAATGTGTTTATGGAAATGAAATTTTATAAGCATGAGTGTTTTTATTGTATATTGAAATGTTTTATTACATACTAACCCATTCCCCACTCACTAAGCATTTCTAGCTCACCCCGATTTTTCAAATGTTTTTCTTCCCCCACCCCCCCAAACCAGGTTAAGAAGGAGATCGTGCAGAGGAGTGAATCCCACTCAAGGTTGGGCCACACGACTTTATTTCATCATATGTTTCATAGTTGTGTTTCATTTTCCGCTACAAAGTTTATATTTCTTTATCATGTATTTATTTCATGTTTTGGATTGTAAAAGATATGGAAATATCTGATACCATACATTCATTTTGTAAAGGAAAATTTAGTTGTATTTTGGTTATTTGCAAATGATGTTATATTTATTTTGTGGCAAACAAAAATAAGTGTATATAAATTTTTTAGGTAGAAGAGTTTTATGATGTTTTAATTCATAAACAGGTTTTCATAGTTTTCCCACATGGCACGTCTCGGTCTCCTGAGTCTCATGGGTGTGCTCAGAGCCTATGGGATAGGGAGGGTCGGGACAGGCGTGTCACAACATTTGTAGAAGCTAAGTGTATTGCTCTTGGCTGATCAAGGGTGTTGAGATAGGATCTCCTGAAGAATTGTTGGACACTTGATGTTGCCATTTTTGTCCTTGGTGGGGTGCCCATGAAGCTTCTAGCAGTGATCCCGATAGACAGGATCTCCTGAAGAATTGTTGGACACTTGATGTTGCCATTTTTGTCCTTGGTGGGGTGCCCATGAAGCTTCTAGCAGTGATCTCGATTGTGATTTCGAAGTTTGCAATAGTCACAATAAAATTTGGGCTTGCCTTGTCTGGAAGATCTGGGCCCATGGTAACCATTTGATCCATTTGATGAAGACCCAAGACCATTTGAGCCACATGATGAAATATGTCATGATCGACATATTGTGTTGTGATTATAAAATGAATGATTCGGAAGCGGGTCTATAGTTATCGAAATTCAGCGTATAATGTATCAAATTAAAGCCCTATCTATATAGTTTCCAAATATGCACATCGCTCATCCATTGGATTTTTATTGAGCAAGTTATGGCTAATTTACTTCTACTGACTGTTTGGTGGAAACTGAAAAACAAGAAAAATCGCAATGTGTGTGTGTGTAGTATCATAATCAAATCAACTCCTCTGAGGTTTAGTATAATTACAAAAATTCACTTAAGATTTTTTAAATAATAAAATTTCCCTTATTATTAATAAACTATTAGTCCGTTAGAACATATATCTATAGATTAATAAATATTTATTAAATTTCTTTCATTCTATTATTTTAACCCATATAATTTAATAGTACAGATTTTTTATTGTTTCATAAATTTGATTATTTTTATTATATCAAACCTCAAGGCTGTCAATATAACTCTATTATATAATATAGAATTAGTAATCATATTAAACTATGCATAATATTATTTTAGTAGTATGGATATTCCAATAATATAATTCGTGTGATAATCTTGTTAATATGATAACGAAACATTATTCATGTAACTTCTAAAAAGTAAAAAACAATATCCCTTGAATTTTTAATATATCACATTCAATTATGTGAAATATCGATTTTGGTATATTTAAAAGTTCTAAGAACAAATAGAAAAAAAATATTTTTAATATCATTGTAAATTAAATCCAAACTTCAATAGAATATTTATTTGAATCTCATAATTTATAAATAAAAAAGGTAAAAAAAATTCCAATTGATGGGTTGCATTTTGTTTGATGGGCCAGATAATTTTGGATTCAGTAGAAAACTACCTCAAAAGTCAAACTGAAAAGCACCTGAAGGTGGATTTACATTTTTAACCTTCAGGGTGCCAATTGAAATCATGAAGGTTGTTTATGAAAATTTTCAAAACATTCTCTTTAATCAGTTTAATGCATTTGCATTTTGCAATAAACTTACTCGGAAAAATGACCCTAAAAAACACTCTTCATACATGGCTTTGAGGTCCCTATTTCGTTCGTCTTCAATCTCTCAAAACCCATCTTTAAAAGTTAATGTTTTATATTTGTTAGCTCACTTACACAACCTCATGTCTTCAAGCTCTAGAAATGAAGTTTTGTATTCTTTGGAAAAACACCTAGAACGATCCTCACTTGCTAAATTCCTCAAACAAAATTGTCAATCAGGTAGGTTTACTCTGAATGAAGCATTTTACTTTTTTTATTACATGATTAATACGAAACCCATTTCTCCAATTTAATCATTCACTACTTTGTTTAGTGCAGAAGCATTATTATGAAGTGATTTCGCTTTATAAGCTATTGAATTCAACTAGGTTGTCTCCGGATTTTATATCTTTGAATATTTTGATTAATTGCTTCTATAATATTGAAAGGGTTTCTAATGGTTATGCGGTTTTTGGGGCGATTTTGAAGTTGGGTTTTAGCCCAAATACCGTGACATTTACTTGTTTGATTAAAGGTCTGTGTGTAGAGAGAAAGATTATGTAATCAATGGAATTGTTTAAGCAAATGGTTGTTGTTGGTTGTAGGGCTGATGTGATCACTTGCAACACTTTGATTGGTGGAATGTGTAAAACAGGGAAGATAAGTGTTGCCATTAAGTTGCTTGAAGAGATGGTTAATGGGCATAAAGAATTTGGTGTTATTTGTAGGCCAAATGTGGTTACTTATAATACTATAATTGATGGTCTTTGTAAGGCTAGATTGGTTGAGAAGGCTACACAACTATTGTTGGAACATATGATTCAGAGAGGTGTGGTTCCTAACGTTTACACTTACACCATTTTATTAAACGGTTATTGCTTGGCAGATAGAATTGGTGATGCAAGGGAGTTGTTTGATTCTATAACTAGAAAGGGGTATAGGCCTGACGTTGTTTGCTACACTACTTTAATCAATTGGTATTGCAAGAATAAAGAAGTCAATGAAGCTCTTAGTCTTTATCGAGAGATGATTTCAAAAGGAATTAGGCCTAATGTGATTACATATACCACCTTGTTAACTGGTTTTTTCCTTATAGCTAAGGTGAAAGATGCATGGAATTTAGTTGGTGAGATGCGACTTAACGATGTTTTCCCGATTCCTGGACATATAACATTTTCATTGATGGACTTTGCAAGAATGGATGTGTTTTGGAAGCATTGGAAATGTTTAATACTCTAGTAATTAATAAGTTTGTAGTTGGCATTGAGCGTTTGAGTTCCCTCATTGATGGATTATGTAAAACAGGGAGATTCGAAACTACTTCGAACCTATTTCAGAAATTTTCTCTTCATTGAAACTGGTGCCAAACGTTGTAACATATAACATTTTGATCAATGGGCTGTGTAAAAATGGACAACTAGAAATGGCAAATAAGTTGTTGTTATATATGGAGGGAAAAGGTTGTGCTCCAGATGTAGTTTCATTTACTACGCTTATGTTTGGTTTCCTCAAGAATAATGAGATACAAAAAGTTGTTGGACTCCTTCATAAGATGGCGGAGAAAAATGTGAAGTCGACTGAATGTTCAATGTCCTTAGTCATGCAACTACTAATGAAGGCTGAAAATTATCATGAATGTTTGAATGAGCTTCCTCAATTTCCGGTCCAAAAGCGAAATTAAACTTTACTTGATAAAACTTTAGTAAGAATTAGACTTTTTTCGGAGCAAAGTCTTGCGAAAGTTCATCCAGCTAACCAAATGCTTTATTTTGGTTATGGTAAGAGGAAGGTTTAGTAAACACTTTCATCTGTTCGAATTTGATTGGAATGGTGATGGGGAAGATTGAGAATTATGGCTTCCCTGATCAGACATACAATAGGTGATCTGCCTCTATTGTAAGTGCATATTGTGGAGGTGGCAGCATTGCAAGTTGCGTCTGGATTTGCACATGAAATAGGTCTTAAGGGTTTGAGGATTATTTTTGGTGCAAATTTCAGTAAGCAAAAGTTGTATATGAGAAATTGTGGAATGGTTCTTACTTCAACTACGACGATAATGGTAGCCGCTCAAGTTCATCTATTCAAGCTGATTAGTTTACTGGACGATGGTTTATTGCAACTGATTAACTTCATTCATTGATATTCTCAAATATCTAGGCCTCGTAAATCTTGATTTATTTATAGCTGTTGCAAACAGAGAACTGATTGTAATATTTTTCATATTGTATTGACAAATTATATATCAATATATATAGGAAAATAAAGAACTAATCTAGGAAATAAATAATCTAATATAGGATATAAATATTCTGACTTCCTATTTTACAAATTTGTTCCTAATATGAATTGATTACAATCCTAATATCCTATTATAGATTTATACACTTAATCATGCAATATCTGTAAGATTTTGCATGATTATCTATAACACTTCCCCTCAAGATGGAGCATAGATTTAATCATGCCCAACTTGTTACAAATATAATCAATCCAAACCCCATTCAAAGCTTTAGTGAAAACATCTCCTAGTTGCTCTTCAATCTTCACATATCCTATAGAAATTAAACCTTGCTGTATTTTCTCATGAATGAAATGATAGTCAATTTCAATGTGCTTAGTTCGTTTATGAAATACGGGATTAGAAGCAATATGAAGAGCATCTTGGTTTTCACACCACAATTTTGCTGGCAAAGAGGCCATAAGACCAATTTCAGTAAAAAACTGATATATCCATATTACTTCACACACAGACTGGGCCATAGCCCTATATTCTGATTCTGCACTAGATCGGGACACAACAGTTTGCTTCTTACTTTTCCATGAGACCAAATTTCCACCAATAAAAACACAGTAGCCCATAGTGGATCTCTTATCTATCTTGGAACCCACCCAATCTGCATCAGAGAAGCATTCAATATTATTATGTCCATGATTTTCGTACAAAATACCACATCCTGGAGCTCCTTTCAGATAACACATAATTTGTTCTAACGCTGCCCAATGGTCAATAGTAGGAGAAGACATGAATTGACTTACTATACTGACAGAGTATGCAATATCAGGACGAGTGACTTTTAGATAGTTCAACTTTCCAACCAGTCTTCTATACCTCTCAGGATCTTCAAACAGTTCACCATCTTTGGTAAGTTGCGAATTAGGAAACATTGGCGTACTACATGGCTTAGCACTCAATTTTCCTGTCTCAGTTAATAAGTCAAGTACATATTTCCTTTGAGAGAGGAAGATGCCTTTCTTGCTCCTTGTTACCTCAACCCCTAAGAAATACTTCAACATTCCTAAATCTTTTGTATGAAACTAAGTGTGAAGAAATGACTTAAGTAATGAAATCCCTATAGTGTCACTCCCAATGATGATAATGTCATCAACATATACAACAAGAAGAATAATGCCAACTGCCGATTGTTTGTAAAAGATTGAGTGATCAGACTTGCTCTTTGTCATTCCGAACTTTGCAACTACCTCACTGAACTTTCCAAACCAAGCATGTGGACTCTGTTTCAAACCATACAATGATTTGCAAAGATGACAAACTTTCCCTTACTCCCCCTGAGCAACAAATCCAGGTGGTTGCTCCATAGACTTCTTCCTGAAGGTCACCATGTAAAAAGGCATTTTTTATGTCTAATTGATGTAATGGCCAAGAATGAGTAGCTGCCATAAAGATAAATAAGTGAACAGAAGTCAATTTAGCCACAGGGGAAAAAGTGTCAGAATAATCCACTCCATAAGTTTGAGCATAGCCTTTAGCTACAAGACGAGCTTTAAGCCTAGCCACTGACCCATCAAGATTTTCTTCAACAGCAAACACCCGTTTGCATCCAATAGGTTTCTTTCCAGTAGGTAAGTCAACCAAGTTCCAAGTACCATTAACATCTAAAGCATTCATCTCTTCTATCATAGCATCACGCCAACTAGGATGAGATAAGGCTTCATGAACAGTTGCAGGAAGGGAGACAGATTCTAGTGATGCCATAAAAGAACAAGAAGAAAATGATAGGTGATCATAAGAAACAAATGAAGAGATAGGATAAGTGTACTGACGTTTACCTTTCCGAAGAAAAATAGGAAGATCAAGATCACTCAAGGTTGGATCCAACGACGAAGAGTCTTGGGTAGGACATGAAGTCTGAGTGTCTTCTTGACGAGGAACACAGGTTTTGGGATCATTAGAGACTGGGTCTAATAATGAAGGGACTGGTATAGAAGGTTCCTGTCGACGAGAATAGACAATGCGAAATGGAGGTAGTGGACGGACATGTGGTGGTGCCGGAGAAGGAACAGTAGGTGGGGAAGCCTCAGGTGTGGCAGTAGCCGGTAGGGATGTGGCAGTATAGATTAGTAAGTCATCATCCTCCCCTTGACGTGTATAGGTAGATGAAGTAGGAAAAAAAAGGGTGTTTTCTAAGAAAGTAACATCAGGTGACACCAGATATCCATTAAGACTAGGACAATAACATCGATATCCCTTTTGAAGGCGAGAATAACCTAGAAAAACACATTTAAGAGATTTGGGATCTAACTTGGTTACCTGGGGTCGAACATCAAGAACAAAACAAGTACTACCAAATATCTTTGGGCAATAGGAAACAAAGACTTAGACGGGAAGAGAACATTGTAAGGAGTAGAACCATTCAGAATAGAGGAAGGCATACGGTTAATTAGAAAACATGCCGTGGAAACTGCATCGGCCCAAAACTGTTTAGGAACTTGCATTTGAAATAATAGGACTCAAGCGGTTTCTCGAAGGTGCCTATTTTTCCTCTCGACTACTCCATTTTGGGACAGTGTGTCAACCCGAGAGGATTGATGAAGAATGCCATGCTGGCTAATATAAGACTGAAAAGAACTCGAAAAATATTCTTTGGCATTATCGCTTCTTAATGGCTTGACAGAAGTATTAAATTGAGTTTTAATGTCAGCACAAAGGGCACAAAAATGAGAAAACAACTCAAAATGATTTTTTATTAAATAAAGCCAAGTTACACGAGAGTTGTCATCAACAAAGGAAATAAAATATTTAAATCCAGGTTTAGACATAATAGAACACGGACCCCAAACATCTGAATGAACTAATTCAAAAGGGACACTAGCCCGTTTATTGACTCTTGGACTTGAAGAAATACGGTGGTGTTTGGCAAATTGACATGACTCACAATCTAATGAAGATAATTTATTAAACTGATGACATATTTTCTTTAACAATTGTAAAGAAGGTTGTCTTAACCGACAATGCTCCTCAAAAGGGGTCGAAATACTGGAACATGCAATGGTTCTGGGCACCTGTGTGTCAAGGATGTAAAGCCCTCCAGATTCATGTCCTTTACCAATAATCTGCCTCGTCGTAAGATCTTGAAACAGGCAATGATCAGGGAAAAATTAGATGCAACATTTAAGAGCATGAGTGAGTTTACTCACAGAAAGTAAATTAAAAGCGAACTGTGGTAGACTCAATACAGAGGATAGGGAAATTAACAGAGTAGGGTTAATAGACCCAGACCCAAGAACACAAGAAATTGACCGATCAGCTAACATTACACAAGGAATTATGTGGCTGATATGATGAAAAGAGACTAGGATTACCTGTCATATGATCTGTGGCACCAGAATCAATGACCCATTTGGAGGATGAGGAAATAAGACATGTATTTGGTTTACCTGACCCGGTGAGAGTAGTGATGGAAGTAGATGAGGACTTCAATGATTCTTGATACTGAGAAAACTTGGCAAACTCATCAGCTGAAATCATAACCTTCTTCTCAGAAATATCAGTAGCGGCAATATGAGCTGACTGAGGTTTCTGGGCCTTATTTTGCAACTTTCTGCATGTGCCCTTATTATGACTGGGTTCATGACAATAGTAGCACACAATCCCTCCTGACTCCTGACTTCGATTCTCACGATAATTCGAACCCCCTCCTCTATTATTGCTTTTATTATATGAACGCCCGGTGTCATGATCTTGACTTACAATAGCATTACTCGATTGAACAGATGGAGTGCTTTCTGTACGAAGAACCCTAGTAAATATGTCTTAGAGGGAGGTGATTTCAGAACTAGCAAGAACTTGAGATTTAGTAGATTCAAACTCAGAAGGGAGTCCAGCTAGGAAACTCATAACTGCCATTTTCTCTCATTGAGCTTGTTGAACTTTCACATTAGCACTCATCGGTAGAAGAATGTTCTTCATATGTCCTTTTAAAATCCATAAAATAGGCCGTAAGAGACCTATCTTGTTTCTTAGCTCGATAAAAAGCTTTGCATACATCAAAAATATGAGAAACATTCCCTTTCCCAGAATACAAAAAATCTAGATAGTCGATCAATTCCTTCACATATTCACAATGATTAATTAAACCAAGTACCTCACTATTGATGGAGTTCCATATCTACAAGAATAACCGGGCATCCTCTCTCAACCATGTTTGCTTTGAATCGTCTTCAGACGAATCTTTGGTGAAATGATCATCTTTACCAATGCTTCGCAGATAAAGATGAATTATCTTACTCCAATCAAAATAGTTATCAGACCCATAAAGCTTATGTTCCGTAATTTTTGACATTACAGGAACCATATCAATTATAGACTTATCAGTCATGGTAAGAAGAAGAAAATAGCCAACAAAAAACTCTTCAAAGAACAAACTCTATACCAACAGAAAC